TTCTTGAAATACAATTGAATCAAAATTTATTTTTGTTTTATTTTTGATGACACTTATTCCTATAAGAAAGTAAGCTCCATTTTCTATTATTTCCCCAACCAGGGACCCAGATGGAAGGATGCTCTTAGATATTTTTGATGAAAACCTTCACCCTCTTTCGGTAATATTCTCCTCCTTGCATTTCATGAGATTGTTTAGTTATTTCTCTCTTGGTCCTTTGGGTGACCAGTCATCTGAAAATGTTTCCTTCTCCAGAAATCCGAAGTGCCACCAGATTATGACAAACACAACCCAGAGCAGAAGCAAATTTACCGGTTTGTTCGGACGCTGTTCAGTGCTGCTCAGCTGACGGCTGAATGTGCCATTGTCACCCTGGTGAGTGCCTTCAGGATGACCACACTTGTCCCCTCACCAGGTGGTCCTGGGCCCGTTCCTGTAGTTCACCGGAGTGGGGTGCAAGCAGGGAATCGTCACCAGGTGACCCTGGGGAAACTACGGTGCAAGCTTCAGTGTTGTCTTTTTTGGGGGGAGATAGAGTATGGATATCACAAAAGAGGGTGTGACATCTGTTTCACAGTCCTCACCTAAAGTCATTAGCAAAATCACATTCCAAATCAATAAATGCTGAAATGTTAAATGCAGGTAAGTAAAACAGTTAGGCTAAGGGGGAATGAGAAGGATCAAGGCCACCTGCTGTTAATGTCCTGGTTTCCTGCTGTTGATTCTCTACAAAGATTTTAATGACATTATAAGATGTGATGAATTTATGCATCCTGTATGAATACATATATAGGAAGGAATATGTATATTGCTAGCTTCTGTTTTGTTATTTTTGTGTAAATTTTCTGTAAGATATTCAGAGACAACATGGAGGTAATCTGCATTTTAAGACTAAAGAGAAAAAATTAAAATGTATTCTTACTTAGATCCTTAAAACTTTATGGACTATTTATGTCAAATCTCATTTGGGAAATAGATTTAACAATGGAACCTGTTGTCACTGACCTTTTACATGTGTGTAACTCAGATAAGAAATTAATGTTGCCTGTGAATGAGCTACCTTGGAGATCAGAAAACCATTCCCTATTGTTTCTGAGAAGAGATTATTGTCTAATAGAAATTTTGTGTGACCTAAGGACTCTGTATTTCTGCCACACCAAGCTTTGTGCTCTCAGGCTAATTCAACAGTAAACCTGTTTGCTTGTTAATTCCATTCGTTCATCCGTTTGTTCATTCTGTCTCATTGAACTTGAAGCCTAAAGGGTAAAACCAGCCGTTCGAGTAATCATTAGGTCTCATGTCTTAATTGACAAATGTATTGCCCAGCTTTGTTTCCCAAAAGGATTTCAAGTTCTTACAAAAACACACATCATGGTAACCGGGCTGAGATTTTTATGTAGGGAAATTGTGTTGAAAGGAAAAGAAGGGTTGAGAAAACCAGATGAAGCCACAGATGAGACTAGCATCTTTCATTGTAACTACTGAAGTCTTCACTTGTTCTGCCAGGTAAGCTGGTGGTTTAGCAGGATGTCAGTTGGTGTTGGGGTCTTGCTGGGGTG